AGCAACACCAGTTACCTTTTTCTGGAAGTTTCTTGAGCACATCTCATCAGGATAGGTGCTGCTGGGAAGGAAAGAACTCTCCTTGTGGAAGCATCCGTTGACTCTACCTGTGATGGCAGGAAGCATTTTTCCTAACAATCCTATTTGGCTCCTCCAGGGCCATTTGCGACTACCGTTAATGCATTTTCCTGCATGCCTGGCAGAATAATCGTGTGTATGACCCCAGCTGAGAGCCCCTGTAATGAGCTCAGGTATCGTGTATTTGTGGAACCACAGGGGAGCTGGGTCGTGTGGAGCAGGAACCACCCTGAGCCCTCACCTGTCCTAGCAGCAGCTGTGCTTTGGGGTGGTCCTTGGGGACATGTGGCTCTAAAGCACAGCCTCAGGAGGAAATCAAAGGATGTATCTAAGATGACATCCTGCCAAGGGCTTGGCCACAGTTTTCTCTGCTGCCAGAGATGTGACAATTCATACATCTGCCACCGACACCCATGGCACTCTTGTGGCTTAAATTGGGCTGGCTCTGCTCCTGCGCCCTTCCTCGTGTGCTGTCACTCCCCTCGCGCTCACTCAAGGAAGCCTGTTTGAAACCAGAATGACTTTTGTGAGGCTAATTTTGAATGTACGGAGATGCCTCATGAACCCTTACCCTGGGAATGCCATCTTTAATCTTTCTAAGTGATGACTGGTTACTCAACTATGTGTTCCACTGGTGTCAGGGACTTGGTGGAAGTGAGTGGCAGAGGTCTGCAGTGCATTGGCCCCAACAGCAGCCCATAGGCATTGTGGCAGGACAGAATGAAGCCAGCAGAGAGGTACGGGGAGCTGCCGTTTGCTTTTGTGAAAAATGCAAGAACCACTAGGGATTTACCACCACCATTGCTTACCTGGTCTTGAGTTCCACAGGGACTGACTGTCCCCTTAAGATGGGTCTCTGCTTAGTTTCTGTTATGTAAGCTTTCGAAGGAAAGGTTGCCCTTTGGGGCTTGACCATCCTCCTTGGGGTAGAAATAGGATCCGTCTCACAGTCACTGTGGTAGGAAAAAGGCTTTGTTTGCCAGAAGTTCTCAAAGTGTGGAGGTTGACCACGTGAGCCCCTTCCGCTACTGATTAAGAGGGTGGGACAGCATGTGCCTGGCCAGGCAGAGGGGGAGGGCCTGCTGGGCACCCAGCGTGGATGCCTAAACTCATAGCCTCCTTGCCACCCGGAGCCCTTTGCTCAGGGCCCTCCCATGCTGTGACTTCCCAACCCGAATTTCCAGTTGATGAACCCGGAAAGTCTGTCTTCCTACCGGAATGTTGACTTTAGGGAACCTTTTGTCTCAGGTTTCAGAATCGCTTTGTTTCTTCGTGGGTAAGACTGGTGCAGCCGGGGTCACGCCCCTTCTCTGTGCGCTGGTATTCTGTGGATGGGAGTTTTTAATAGCTTAGTTTTGAATTTTGGCTTGAGTGAAACAATGTTTTAATAAGGTGCACAGTCACTTCTACACACAGCTTTATCTTTTACACCCCGTGTAGTAGATAGAATTGAACTACTTCCTCCGCCTTCTCTCTCTCCCCCTGGTTATCACTGTTTCGTTGTTTGTTTGTCACAGACTGTTAGCGAAAATATGACCCCTGTGCTGTCAGCAGTGTGGACACTCCCAGAGCCGATTCCAGCGACCCGCCTGGGTTCAAAGGGCTTGTTAATAACTGTGCTGTTGGTAAAAATAATTTTGGCTCTCACTTCCTTCTCATGTCAAAAATAGTGTTCACGAACAGTTACCAGTGAAGAGATTTGCAAAGATATGAAACAATATCACTCTTCTCACTAATTTTTTTTGGAAAATACTTTTTTCCGACAAAAATATTCGCGTTAACATCTAATGGATTTATTATTATTATTTTTAAATGAAGCAACAAATAAATATTTTACAATTTTTCAGTTTTAATTCTAAAACAAAAACAGGAAAATAAATAATGCTCTGAAGAACTGTTTTGAGAAAAAGATTTGTTCTGAAAATAATGGAGAAACTGTTTATGTTCCCACCTAGCTGACTGTCAAGCTAGAACACAGTGACTTTAACCAGGTTTTCTTTTCTTTCGTTTTCTGTCTAATAATAATTTTTTGTCCTATAAAGATGCCCTAACAAGAAAGAATCTTTTAGGTGGCCTAGTAGGGGCCTTTTCTCTTGCCGAGTAATGTTGTAATAAAAATGTAATTTGTGCTGATAAAGAAAAGAAAAGAAAGAAAAGAAAAAAGAATAGTATCAGTGAAATACAGCTCATCCAGCTGTCGAATCAAGTGTGAGCATTTTGCCTTTGAAAGGAAGGGAGGGTCATTGCGATGCCCTGAGGCTCAGGAGAAGCGGCGCATCCTTCCCAGCTACTGTTCTGCAGGGTCAGTGTCCGGAACCTTGGGGGTTTATTTAGGGGACACTTGAGACAGAGCTGTAACTTGTCTGGGTCTCTTGCCAACTGCACATAAAGAAGCAAGAGAAATAGTAAATGGGATTTTCTGCTCCTAACACATGGTTGGATTTAGTCAGACTCAGTAACTGTTTCCTGAAGCCATTTACTTCCGGCAGACTTGGGGCTGCTAGGTTGTGGCGGGGTTGTGTATCACTGTCCTTAGGTGGAGCCCCACCTGCCACGGCCCCTGCTGATTCTAGCATGGAAGTCAGCGTTTATCGGCTCCAGGGCTCCACTCTCTCCTGCAGTGACACTCACTCTCTTATTCAGGCCCCGTTGGGCGCTGTTTATGATGGGCAGAGCTGGGCTCTGTTCTGGCTCTTCTGGTCCTGAGAGCACTTGAGGCCCATGACCGCCCTTCACGCACCCTGTTATCTGCCAAAGTGCCAAGCACTTGGTGGGCACTTGGTGAGTACTTGTTGGAAACAGAGCATAAAAGAGATGGGGGTGCTGGTGCAGGCGGGGCAGGCAGGGCCCAGAAGGCGAAGCCCCCTGACCCTGGAGGACAGGGTGGGCCACAGATGGCAGGTATCCGTCCACCCGTTGGCGGAGCTCGCCCAGTGCTTGCTGCTTCAGCCCCTCAAGCTGCTTGGAGTCCCTTTACACCCTGCATTTAAACAGGGGTGAAAATAGTTTCTTGGGAGGTGAAAAAAAATCCTAGAGATTACCGTGGTTTGTGGCCTTGCAGAGGACCACAGGACGTGAACAGATGTACAGTATATCTCTGCTATTAAAATTTCATGTGGGAGAGCCATTAGGAAACAGTTCTGAGATAGCTTTAGGACCAGTAATAATGAAACAGCTGAGAAGTGCTACTTTGCAGCAGCCATGATTCTGCCTGCCAGGCCCTCGTCAGTGGGGCCCCCTGCCTGGATGCCTGCCCTTCCCCCAAGGTCTTGGCCAGATCTCACTCATTCTTCAAGATTTGGCTCTGGCTTCACTTTCCGTAGGCAGTGATTTGCACATAGGGCTGTAATGGTCTGTCTGTGACAGGAGGTCAAAGGGCAGACATTCGAGGACATGGGAACAGCTGTCACCAGAACAGGCCACACAGATCCGGGCCCACTGATCTTACAGCCCAGTTGGTTTCTTGCTATCATGTGTGAACACGGCTCATTTGAGCCAGGGGTGGATCGGCGAGGAACCCCAGGGCTGAGCTCGCAGCAGGCCCTCTGTCACCCCTGCTGGGGACCATCCTGCTTCTCAGGGCCTCGGTTGTCCTGTGAAAAGAAAATAGGTGGCTTAAAAATCTTTTTCAGGGGCAGGGAGGACAGGAAAAATGGAGGCCTTAGTCTGGATGTAGCCTGGTTTTAAGGTAGCCAGGTGGGACTCCCGGTGGTTCCTGGCAGCCTGTCAAGGGAAGGAATGATGGCCCCAGAACCTTCCTCGGCCTCCACGCATGTCCTGGTCTTTGCCGGGAAACAGGGCTGGGGTCCGTCCAAGGTGGCTCTGGTTTCCATCCAAGATTCAGGTGATTTGGCAGCTAATGGAGCTGGGGTGGGTGGGAGCTTGTGGGAGAATGGGGGGTGACAGTGATGGCTTGGCATTTCATACCAGTCCTTGAGTCCAGCCCACGGGAGGCCCTCATGCGGGCCAGGACAGGGAACTGCTGGTCTGGGACCCCGTGGTACCTCCTTCCTGCCTAGCAAGTTGCTTCACCCTGTGATCTTCAGTTTCCTTTTTGACAGAGTGAGAAGATTTTATTTAGATGCTGCTGTGAATCTGAAGCAATGAAAGATTAAAGAAAATCCAGCAGGTTAAAGGAAACCAAGCTGTTTGTGGAAGCAGAGGGAGAAATCAGGCCACCTGTAGTACTTGGCTTGTGGTCCGCGTGGACCTGCTGTGTCAGCCCCACAGCTGTGCAGAGGGGAGCATGTAAGGAAAAAAGACGCTTCGCCGCAGAAAACATGTTTTTAGTATTGTGGTGTCACATGTTCTCTATCCTCCAGCAGAGGGCAGGGAAGTGACGGGGGCAGTGGACTTGGAAGCGGACCCCGTTCATCAGCCCCAGGGAGAAGCTTTGCTGCTTGGTACCACTGCCACAGTACATAGATCCTTTTGTGATTCTAGGAGGCTTTAAGAAATCTTCTGACAAATCTTGGCCACATATCTTCTTTCTTTTTTTCCCGACACTTGAATGAAACCCCAGGAAGTAATATGCTGCTTTTATTCACTTTTTGAATGGGCTCTCAAAGCCAGTGGCTTAGGAGGGTGAGCCTGTCCTCCCTTCTAGCCTCCTGGTCCTGGTTATATGAACATTGCTTTACTGCTCAGAGTATCTATAATGTAATAACAAGTCTCATTGTTCCAGAATTTTCCATCAGCCTCTGTTTAGTAGGAAAACTAAACAGAGATGAATGAGACCACAAGGCATGTGAGGCCAAATTTTCAGCCTGGCGCAGGAAAAACCGGTGGGTGCCCAGAAATCTGTTATCACAAAGATGAGTGAACCTCATGCAAACATCTGATTGAAGGGGGCAGGTCTTTCACATTCCAGTCTGCTGGTGTTCCCTTTGCATTAACATGGTTTATATGTGCCCCCACCCCAGCCTTTTTCGCAAAGTGTGTCTGCTGTGCCCAAGATTCAACATAGGGCTTTTGGAAGAGATCCCTATGATGCTGACCTCCCAGAAGACCCCATCCGAGCTTGCATGAGTCCTTTCAACTGTGGGATGGCCTCATTTCACCTTGCTCCTGTGAGAAGCTGACTTTGTGGGAGTGGGGGTGAATTTGGGACAGTAGGTGACAGGCAGATGCTCTGGTGTCTGTGCATCAGAAAGAAAAGAGCCCAGTACAAATGCTGGTCTGTGTGTGGCAGCCTGTTCTTGAAGTCATTTTATGAAAATGCATATCTATTGGTAACAGGCAAGGTAATTATCTTTAGTCAGGCTGTGGGGAGGCCTCTAGCTGCCATTTCCGCCCAAATGTCCTGAGAAATAGTTGTGTCCATGTAGAGCGAGAACACAGAGTGAATGCTATAAGGCTCCTGTTAGTCCTGGAGCAGAGAGCAAAGCCCAGTGCTTTGGGAGCTAATTCATGCTCGGCCAACCGAGTACCTAGTGGTGGTGGAAACCCACCCCTGGCTGCCCTGTGCCCCGGGAGGCACCATCTTCCCTGCATCCACCCCATATTCCAGTAGCTTGATCACACAGTAAACAACTGAAAGATAGTGCTTCCTGGGCTCATTTTCTCCTCTTTGTGTCTGTCTTCTCCACTGTAAGATTTTGGTCGCCTATGTCCAGCTTACTTGCAGGAGCAGCACTGGGGGTGTATAAAGGCTCATAGCCTGTCTTCGGGAATCCAGGAATCCAGAAGCGCCCATGTTTGCATCCACTGCGGAGAGCCTGAGCCGTTCAGCAGGGAGGCTGTTCCTGGTCTCTGTGTGCATGCTTGTGAAGGTGCACACGTTTGATTAAGGAGCGCTCCAGAGCTGGGGTCAGCAAATGACACCCTGTGGGCTGAATCCAGCCCTCTCTCCTCTGTTTTTGTAAATAAAGTTATATTGGAACAGCCACAGCCTTCTGTCTGCCCATTGCTTCTGGCTGCTTTTACATCTGGCCTTCTGCACAAAGTGCCCCGGTCACTGCCCTGAGGAGAAACCGCTGCCGGCACAGTGGTCCAGTTTGGGTGGAGAGTGCCACGTGCAGGGGCTTGTGCAGCAGGGGTAACTCGCTCTGCCTGTAGAGAAACAGCCTCTCGGTACTTGGGGCTCACACAGTTGACTAAACATTTCAAGGCTTCCTTCTCTTCTCGGATTGTGTAACTCACAGTTCTTGCAGGAAGGTGTGTTTGTAAATAGGGTTCTCCAGACCTTTAGTGTATAAGGGCAGTGGACTAGATGAGGCCCTGGAGACAAACACATGGGGAGGGGAGGGGTGGGGAAGACAAGACACAGGGAGAGTCAGTGCAGCCCAGGGGAGGGGTGTCCCAGCAGTCGAGGTCCCATCAGCCTCCTTGTGGAAGGGCAGTGTCCAGGTCTGCAGACTGCATAAGCCCCCAGCTCTCTAAGGACCCCCAAGACACCCTAGCCACATGTTCGGAGAGCACGTTTGGAGGTTTGGAGGAGATGGGGGTATTGGCCAGCCAGCTTGGAGCACCCACATCCAGCCTGTTTTTAGCCCTGCTGGCCTGTCCTAGCTTTCCTTGTATGACTTGCATTCGCCTGGTGAATATTCTGCATGCCTTGTGGGCAGCTTTTGTTGCTTTGGATTAGTTTTTCTTTTTAAAGCCCCTTTACACAAATTTTTAAAAATGAGCTTAATACTGATTACATTTTAGTGCCTGGTGAATAGCACTAATAGCATTGATACTTCTGAGCACTCACATGAGTCTATTTTATGAGCTCCTTTAGTAGTCTTGCTCTATATAGAAGAACCATTTAAACCACTCATACTGTTAAATCAAAAAACAAGGTAGGAAATATGGACCGTATCCTGCTTGCAGCTCTCAGTGTGATTGGAAGACCAGTGTCCCTGAAGGTCATAAATGCAGGATGTAGCTTGAGTTGTAATTGCAGTTAGGTCCCACATGATTGATGGACACACTACGGTTTGAGAAGCTCTGGGCTGCGCCATTAATCCCTCATCCTTACCTTCTGTACGTGGCTTGCCCGTGTGGAGGGAGTATGTAAGCAGTAGTGGTCCCACTGTGCTCTGTGGCCCACGGTACAGTCAGCCCACAGGTGTGGTGTCGCCTGTGTCAGGCAAGGTAGGGCCACGTGCTGGGTCTGTTAGAGGGGGGCACATTCGAGCCCAGGAATGGGCAGCTCCTTCTCCCCAAACTGGGGGCAGTGCCGGGCCTCATCACAGGGATTCCTCACTGCATGCTGGAGAGCCGCCAGCCAAGGGGACTGTCACCCTCTCGGAAGCCTGTGTCAGACCCAGGCTTGTGCTGGAGCCACTCACTGCAGCCTTTGTGCAGAGCGCTCTGCAAGCAGCTCATGCGGTACATTGTGATGGGTTCAGTGGTCGGAAGCCTGCTTGACCCAGTGGGATCGCAGCACAGCCTCTCGCTACCCAGCCTTCAGGCTCGGGCTGCGGACAGTGCTGGCGTGCGCCTTCCTCCAGCAGGCTGGACCGACAACTTCCATAGCTCCCACTTGCCACCTCAGAGGCAAGCTTGGAAAGAGCTGCTGGAGTGCATGGGGGGATCCTGCCTGGAGGGCAGCGAGAGGCTCTGGGTTTCTCTGGTGACCGTGGGCGAGGCGTTTGGGCCTCAGCGATGCAGGAGCTGGTGGGGATAGGCCCTCCGCTCCCGGGGACTCCACTCGCTCTCCCGTGATGCATGGGAGATGGTGGATTTGCCACGACACTGGGTGACTTCAGGGGGACTGCCAGGGTTGGTGCTTTAGAGGGAGCTGGTGCATGTCCACACCCAGGAATAGAACTTGGTTCTCTGAGAACTGGGCTGAGAGTGGGCAGGCCTGGCAGGGCCCCGTGGGACCACACACTCCCAGCCTGTGCCCCTGGCCCACTTTGTGAGTGGACTGCTGCTGCGTGCCTGGGTAGCCCAGGGCTCGACATCCTGTGGTGTTCCAGGCAGCCCTGCTCGAGCCCACAGCCGCAGTCGTCACCCTGGTATTCTCCCTGCTGTAGCCTTTGAACCCTTGGTAAAATCGAGAACCTCTGCTGCTGATGGCGCCCTGCCAGCTGCTCGTCCCAGGGAAGCCAGCCGGAGTCACGAAGGGGGTTCCTCGGCACATGGCGCATGGTTCGGCTCTGCCTCCTCCCCCGACGCTGTGGACCAGGGTGACGCCGCATCCCACGGGCGCTCTCGGGAGTGCAGGCCACCGCCCCCCGCCGGCCGGCCAAGGAAATGCCGCAGGCGGTTGAGTGGGCCTCTGTGGTGCAGACTTCGCGGGAGCGTCTTCTGTCCACCTGAGATGTGGAACCCCAGGCACAGCGCTGAACGTGAGCGTGAGCCGTGATCCTTCCTGGGCTGGAAGAGAGAGCTCTTTGAGTCTGCTGATTAAATAGTATTTCTTAAAAGTGAGTTTATATTCGAGGAAAGAAGTGGCAGGCTCAGCGGGACTGGATATGGCAGCTGGTGCCCCATCCCAGAATGGGAAGCACCTCGCCTGTGTGCAGGTGAGACCACTTGGAAGGCAGGGCCCTGTCCTGGCATCAGCCTCCTGGGGGCTGTCTGCTCCTTGTTTACCTGCTGCCTCCGTGTCTCCCAAGTTGATTTTTGAGCCAGTGAAGAAAGAGGAGGACTGGACAGGTGCTCAGTCCACTGGGTGAGACACAGTCAAATGTTTTTTTCTGGGGTGCGTTTGCCAAGGCTTGTGATGGGGCTCTTAGAGAGGGACAAACTCCGAGGAATTTTCTCTTGGGTGTGCAAGAGGCTCACTTTTGCTCTTCCCCGGACTGATCCATCCAGAGGACGAAAAAGTGGTCCCTCTGGGCAGGGCCTTGGAGAGCATTGTGCCCCCAGCAGTTGGGCTGGCACCATGATGGGGCAGCTGCCCTGCTTCGGCTGAGTGCTCTGAAGAGGAGGAGGCCTGGGAGGGGTGGGACACTCGGCTCTGTTTTTCGTGGTTTATTCTAACCTCCTTTAAACAGATGTAGGACGTTTGCAAAGCTTCTTGAAGCACGTGTGGAGTCAAGGCACCAACGGTTGGGTCTGGCCTCTGCCACCCACTTGAACACCATTATCCAAATGGCTGTTAACTCACCCTCTGGCCACACTCATGTGGGCGGGTCTCCTTAGACCCACTTTCAGTTCTGCGTGTTGCTGGCATCGGGAAATACAGTTCCTGCAGGGAGGAGAGGGAAGCTGGTGCCCAGAAATTCTACCAAGGGACATTTTATAGCTGGGACTAGTTAAAGAAACCAGGTCTGGAATGCTTCCCTGGTGTGCTTCTCATGCAAGTGGGGTTTTACTGCGTGTTTGGTGCTTTCACTGTGGGAGGCCAGGAGGACCGACAGTGGCACTTGTCAACTAGAACCGTTCCTTTTTGGATACAGTGCAGAGCCCTGGGGAATGGACTCTGGGGAAAGCGTGGGACTCTCCCATCGCTCTCTCAGTCAGTCGGTCGGTCACTCCCCAGAAGTGTCAGAGGAGCAGCTCCTTTGTCCAGGCGGCAGGGATATGGGGGTGCTCGCCGGCTCCTCCACCTGCAGGGCTGATGGGCAGGTGCCGGCAGGAGCCAGGTGTGGCTGGTAAACAGAGAGAGGCTCCGACCCTTATCTGAATGGCTGTTAACTCACCTGCCGAGCAGGTGCAGAGCAGACAAGGAGGGTTCGGGGAGGTGGGGGAGCACCAGGAGAGCGCAGGGTCTGCCATCCGGAGAGGCAGGGTTCAGGGACTTGGCTGCAGCACGCAGTGCCTGTAAGTGAGGGCGATGGGCCCTGCGCCTCCCACCTGAGCCACGTCCCAGCTCCTCAGAGCAGTGGGGGCCTTGCTGTGGGCTCAGCACAGAGAGGCAGGGCCCACCGGGGTCCTGAGCACATGCGTGTGTGCTAGCCCACGCAGAGTTCATACGGGGGTGATCATTGATGGCCCCCGAGCTGCAGAGTTCCTCTGAGCCTCAGTTTTATTTTGTCTGCAGGTAGCATTACTCCTTCCTTGTAGCCTTAGGTCTAGTTAGGGAAAGCACGTTCCGGGATGCTGGCGCAGGTAAGTACTCAGTGCCTGTTCCCACCATACTGTCACTCATCACTCCTAGAAGGGCAGGTGGAGTCTTGGGGTCTTAGCACGCCTCCCTGCCCTGCTGATTGGCATTTGGTGGCCATGGGGTCTGTTTGTGACGTGGACCCTGGACACTGGGCGACATATTATATCCGGAGCCACAGCAAGACAGCTGGGTGGGTAGTACCACCCAGGGCTTTGGACTTGGGGTCAGCAAAGGGCAGGACCTCTAGCAGGTGTGGGTGCGGGGACTGCAGTGGGAGGGGCCTGTCAGGGCTCCTGTAAGCACAAGTGGTTTTCAGGAAGTGGGGCTCCCTGTGCTCAACAAAAAGAAGGGCATTTACTCCTGAAATGGCTTAGGTGACACTGGCTTGATACATGAAAGCTAGCAGAGAGCCGCTCTCAGTTCCCCCTCCCACCCCAACTGGTGGGGCCCCGAACCACGGTCAGACGCCCTGCACCTGTTACTGGGTGGACCTAGGCTTCTCTCTGCTGGGTCACCTCTGGCCTGAAATTTGGGGAAGCTTATTTGTAACTAAAGTTACATCATGGCAGGAGACCTGCAGAAGGGCTCCAGGGAAAGCCATCTTCAAAAATAGAAAGGTTTATTGGAGGGAGGCTTTGGGGAGAAGGGTGCGGGGCCTGGGAGATAGCACATTCATTTGGCAGGTAATTGAGGGCCCTGATCTTGAGCAGAGCATCTCGTTCTAATTAGTGCGGGCCTGCCTGGTGGTGTTTATGTGGAAGCAGAGCGTGGCCTGCTTAGCTCTCCTCATGATTTAATTGGGTTTCTTACAGCACCCCTAGGGCACCCT